TGCATAAGTTCATTAATGAGTTTGTTTTGTGTTTTTTGTTCTGTTTTGTAAGGATTTTTCTTGTGCCTCTGTCACCTTTAGCTTGCTCAAGGTGTGTATATATATATATATATATATATATATATATATATATATATATATATATATATATATACAACAATATTGAAATATTTTCCAGGTAATATTTAAAAAATGCTTTGTACAATGACCAAAATAAATCTTTTAATTTTGCAAACAATATATTGTCTTTATAATATTATATTTACTGTTTGCCTCAGGTAGTATGCATGAAAATACATAACTGCCTTTTAAAAAAAATTTAATTTAAACAATTTTTTTTAAAGCACTAACTTATAGACAGGGGTTAAATTGGGATTTGCTATGTGGGGAGACTCTATGGTATCGAGCTTATATATATGTGTGTGTGTGTGTGTTTTGCAAATGTGATGTATTCTGAAGCAATATTCTCATTATTCAATATTTATAATATATTCAATATTTTATCCAAGGACATTTTTTTGCCTTTATAGAGGGCATTTCCCCACTAATCTCATTAATACTTTCATTTCAAATTCTTACATTTGATCTATAAATTCATAATAATATAATAATGTGATCTATACGTTATCAAATTAAATAATTTAATCTGAAAAATACAACTGCATTAAATAATATTATGAGATTCTTTTAAATATGTTTGAATATACAAACAAGAAATGATGGTAAAAATGATACTTTTCAACGAAATTAAAACGCCAGTGCCAGTAGTGTTTAATGAGTAAGTCGTTGAGTCATTCATTCAAACGATTCGTTCAAACGGCAGAATCATCAGATGTTTATGCATGGGCTAATGAAACTTTGATTCAACCGATTCGTTCAAAACACGGAATCAATCAGCAATGAATCGGCTGGTTGCTGTGAGATGCGCTGTGTTCCGCCTAAAATTTAAGTGACCTAATATTATTGTATTTTGCTTATTGAACTGTTTATAGAACTATTAAACAGTCGTAATGGTGAAAACGTTGTTTGATATTGCCTAACTAACTGCATTTTAAATAAGCTATCAAAACTTTACATTTAGAATTTTAAAGAACACTTAAAGTTTCTAAGTGTTGCACGTTTTGATTTCTCCTGTAGAGGCTGCATGAGCAGCAATAGATGCATAATATACAGTCTATGTGCCGGGGTTCAGCCCCGGACAGCCCCGGCCCCGGCCCAATTTAAACCCTGCTTATAGAGGACCTTAACTTCTTTAAAGTTGACTAGTGATTCAAACAGAAGTGAATTTAAGCATTAGCTGCACACTATAAAACTTTCATCTGTTTTTACATCTACTGCCTGTCTGTCTGCTAATTTAACCTCCCACAGAGGCGGCACGGCATACAGCCCAGCTCTGTGAGTGTTCACACTGGAAAATGATAGTTTAAAAAACAATATGCCCATGAGTGTTAACGCAAGAACATGCAATTATGCTACCGAACAAGACAAATTGAAGGAAATAGTCAGTTAATACCGAACAGGGAGAGAGAGAGTGAATGAGGAACAGGATAACAAAGGAATGACAAAGAGACTGAGGGAAAATGTGTCATGGGAGCGGATGAGTTTGTGATGGACGGCATAATAAAGTGGAACAATGACATGGGGTCAATCAGATTTTGGCCCACAGAGATGAAATACGAGGGCATGTGAGTAAATGAGAGCAGGAGTCAGTGACATCACAATGATGGACGGCAGCGGGAGGGAGGGGATCCCTGTGGTGAATCCATAACTGTTTTACTCTGTGCTGATTACATGTCAGGCTTTCTTGCTTTCTTTTCTTTATTTGTTTCTTTTTTTGTTTGCCTGCATTTGGTTGCATGCTGAGGGGGGAATTCACTAAGAATGCATGAGGCAGGGCAGGCTGATAGTGGCATGTTTTTGCATGCATTAACTTGCATTTGCATACAGTATATGTGCAGTTGTAGTACTCTTTCAGTGCATTTAGCTCTAGATTGCATGGATTCATTCTTTTTAAAATTAATTGTATTACATTATGCAAGCCTCAAATATGCATGAAAAACTGACTTGAACACAGGTCCATTAGCATTAGTGTGTTTGTGTGTTATACTGTCTTTGGAGCATTTATTGGTCCAGGTGTTTTGTGATGTTATGCGGCAGCACTGCTTTAGTGATGCTGCATAGTATTCAGTCAACCTGATAAAATTTGATTTACGCACACAGATACACACATGCACACACACTGACAGCGTGAGATGACACTCACCGATGTGTGAACACATCAAACTTTGTCAGATAGTGTCCCATTAGCATTAGTGTGTTTGTGTGTTATACTGTCTTTGGAGCATTTATTGGTCCAGGTGTTTTGTGATGTTATGCGGCAGCACTGCTTTAGTGATGCTGCATAGTATTCAGTCAACCTGATAAAACGTTGATTTACGCACACAGATACACACATGCACACACACTGACAGCGTGAGATGACACTCACCGATGTGTGAACACATCAAACTTTGTCAGATAGTGTTGGTAGCTGATGCTTTGCTGTGGACTGTGAAGGCAATATTTGCTTGAAATCAATATAGCAGTTCAGCAGCCTCTCTTTCACTCGTCCGCTTATGTTTTTACACTGAAACTCTGCCAATTATCATGTATCAGATTTATTAGATCATTAGAATTCTCTGTGTATCTGATATCATCGTTTTGAATGTAATCTCTCTGATTGTGAGTTAAAGCCCACAGGTTTGTCTTTCCTGATCACTCTCTTGTCATTTTACACTATAATTCTGGCAATTATCAAAAATGTAAACCCTGAATGGATTTATTTTGCAATAATGTTTGGCTGAAAGTGCATTATCCTCTTATCCAAATGACATGGCTGTTTACTGAATCAGAGAAACATTAAATATTGATTGGAGTTTATTTTATGTGAGAAGATTCAGGCAATATGAAATTAGCACAGCTATGTAGGAAATCAGTTGCCTGGGACAGCGTTCAATTATATAGCTTAGTGTCATTATACAAAATAATGACACGATGCCACAAAACTAACCAATCAGAATCAAGTATTGCACAGAGCCCTGCAGTAAGAGATCATTAGTTATATATGTATATCTGATGTGATTGTTTTGTTTAATGATGGTGTTGTAATTTGTGACCCTGGAGTCGCTGGGGTATATTTGTAGCAACAGCCAAAAATACATTGTATGGGTCAAAATTATTGATTTTTCTTTTATGCCAAAAATCATTAGGATATCAAGTAAAGATCATGTTCCATGAAGATATTTTGTAAATTTCCTACTGTCCACAAAAAAGGCAGTAGCGCCAAACACTCGTCCAAAAATCCAGTAGACAAAAACTATGGTGCGTAGATCCAAAATATACAAAGATACAAAGGTGAAAGAGATCCGCACTCCTCCAAATGCAGCTAAAAAAGCTTATTCCATTTATTGTTCAGAGGTCACAAAAATATGTAGAAAGAAGTGCAAAAGTGCAAGTGCAGAAAGTTCGGGAATTAACCCTTCCTCAGTGTTCCAGAAAAGATTTCCTACTGTAAATATATTAAAACGTAATTTTTGATTAGTAATATGCATTGCTAAGGACTTCATTTAGACAACTTTAAAGGCGATTTTCTCAATATTTAGATTTTTTTGCACCCTCAGATTCCAGATTTTCAAATAGTTGTATCTCAGCCAAATATTGTCCTATCCTAACAAACCACACATCAATGGAAACGTATTTATTCTGCTTTCAGATGATGGATAAATCTCAACTTTCAAAAAATTAACCCTTATGACTGGTTTTGTGGTCCAGGGTCACATTTGTTTTATTGTTCATTCAGAAATGTTTTTAACCAGCACTATAGTCCATAGATTTAAAATTCTTTAGCTTCTTTTTGCTTTTTATATTCTAGAATTTATTTAATAATTTTAAGTCTTTCTAAAATAAAATAAAAAGGCAAAATAAATTACTGACCGCAAATGTTTATATAGTTATTATTGGGGTAAGAACAAAGAAAAGAAAGAAATGAAAATTTTGAAGAAAATAAATGAATACTTTTAGTCAGCAAGGACACACTGATCAAAAGTGACAGTAAAGACATTTATAATGTAATAAAGGAACATTATATTTATCAAAGAATATAAAAAAAGTATCATGGTTTGTCACAAAAATATTATGGAGCTCAAGTTTTCAACATTGATAATAAGAAATGTTTCAAATCCACATATTAGAATGATTTCTGAAGGATCGCGTGACACTGTAGACTGGAGTAATGATGCTGAAAATTCAGCTTTGCATCACAGGAATAAATTACATTTTAAATAGAATATAATAAAATATTAGAATTTTAATTTGTAATAATATTTCATAATATTACTGTTTTGAGCAAATACATTAAGGCTTGGTGAACTTCTTGCAGATGTATGGTATATAAACTATGCAGGAGTATATTTTGTGATAACATAACTTATATGGCCATTTATCAATTAAATAAAAGAAATAAATGGACAAAATTGTTTAGATTTAAATTTTATTGTATGAGAAGAGAGATTTTAGGGATGTGAAGACATGAAACTAGTGCAGCTATATAGAATATTGGTTACTTGGGCCAGAAGTCATTTATAGAAACAAAATATTGATTTAATAGATAAATATAAATATTTGACTCCAGAAAAGAAACAAGAGAGCTGTTGCAATAATAAATAACCAATATCAGATCATTCGAATTGTTTTGTGAGCTAATCTGATTATTTTGCATTATTTAATGCTGATGTTGTAGTCTGTCTTATTGTTCATTGATAAATGTGTTAAACCGGCATTATAGCCTACAGGTTTGATGCTTGAAATGCTTAATCACAGCACACATCTAACCTCTCTCTCTCTGTCTCTCTCTCTCTAATCCTCTCTTGCATCTCCCCTCCCCTCTCTCTCTCTCTCTCTCTCTCTCTCTCTCTCTCACTCTTTCACTCCCTGCGCTGGTGCATGTGCGCGTGTGCCAGCAGCTCCCTGTGTGTGTGTGTGTGTGTGTGTGCGCGGGTGCGTGAGGGAGGCACTATGCAGTCAGAGCTCCACACACACAGAGCATGCCTGTGAGTGCGGGCTCGGGCAAACATGAGCCTTCCCAGCCCAGAGATCGTCCACAGCAGCAGCCTGAACTCCCGTCTGAGCCCCCCTCTGCCCTCCCCCTCTCCTCTCTCCCTCTCTCGCTGCCTCTCTCTCTCCCTCTCCTCATCTACTCTCGCCCTGCGCAGCCTCTTCCCCGCCACCTCTCCAGCACCAGCCGGGGGGACATCTCCCGCTCTCCGCACGCCGACGTTTGCCGAGCGCCGGCCGGCCCCATGGAGGAACCCCAGGGCAACACACTGGTCGTCCGCATAGGCATCCCTGACCTGCAGCAAACGGTGAGTTCTGTCAGTGCTCCAAACTCTCTCTCTCTCTGTCTGTTTTTTATTGCCTGTTCTCTTCTCTTTTAAGCATGCACTTGATTGTTCTCTTTCTTTTTGTACCTTTTTATCTTCTTCGCTCTTTTTGCTCTTGAACGCAACCCGTCTTCATTAGTGCGACTGCGGCGGACTTTGAAAACTGGCCACTTGGAGAGAGACGGAAAATCAAAGGTAGATACAGTGACGGGTGGGTTATCGGAGCTTTACTGTAATTCACAGGGACTTTTTCCCGCCTGTCGCGAGGCTGTCAGACTTGTCAGTTGGGTTGCAGCATATTGTACCGCGTCCCCAGGGCCCTCTGGAGCGACATATGGTGCTGATGGATATGAGAGCGCCGTGCTGAAGTGCAGTTACTCACCTGTTCCTTTTGGACAGATACAGGTGTTACGGTTGCAGGTGGCATATTTAATTTAATCATTTTTTCAGTATTGCATACACTGAAGCCAGGATCTGGAGGTTTGCTTGAACTTTGATTGCATATAAGCATGGCTTTCATTTATTTTTCTAACCTGAGGTTAGTTTGGACGTGTTAAGGTTGTTTAAACGTGATTTGCAGCGATTGGAAGTCATTCGATTTCGCTGAGATTTGGCGATTTAGATGCATGATTGGACGAGATGAGCGTCGGTTTTCAATTTTTTCTCTGTGGTACTGGGTGACAGCTATCCATTAGCATTCCCAATACAGTTATGTATGGTATATACACTAGCTTACAAAAGTTTAGTGTCGATAAGATTTTTTTATGTTTATGAACAAAGTCTATGGTCACCAAGCCTGCATTTATTGAATAAAAAAATGCAGTAAAAACAGTAATATTATGTTTTCTGTTTGAATGTAATTTAAAAATGTAATTTATTCCTGTGATGCAAAGCTGAATTTTCAGCATCATTACTCCAGTCTTCAGTGTCACATGTTCCTTCAGAAATCATTCTGATATGCTGATTTGCTCTTATTATTATCAATGTTGAAAACAGTTGTGCTGCTCAATATTTTTGAGGAAACCATTTTTTTCTTTTATTAATAGAAAAGAACAGCATTTATTTTATTTAGAAGTATTTTTAACAGTTTAAAAGTCTTTACTGTCACTTTTGATTTAATTTAATGCAAAAAATCGCAATAACCCCCTAAACCTTTGAATGTTACATGTTGCTTGCAAAAAAAAAAAAAGTATTTCATTGGAAAGCACGGCTAATTTTACCAGCAGGTGCTAACAGAGCCATGCTAACTATCCAAACCTTGACCCCTTGGAGCTGAGCTGGAATTGTGTGATAGACAGCAGTGTGGAGCATGATGTGAGAGCCTCAAAAAGATAAGAAATGCTTTATAACTTTATTTAAATAATAGGCCGCTGCCAGCCAATCACTGTGAGTGTCTCAGAGTGTCTCAAAATGTACCAATCTTGCTGTAGTTTATGGTTGGTTCTATTTTCTAATATATATTACAGTCCGATTTCAAATGCAATTTCCACACTTTAATTATACCTTGGATATGGCTGGGTTAACAAAAGTGTATGAAATGTCAATAAGCACAATTACAGCAATTACAAAAATGCACATATGTTAAAATGCCTAAAGTGTATGTATGATGATTTAATTGACTTTGTATTGAAAGCAGTCATAGACCATGCTGAAGGTGTTTTGGCCAGTGTCATGCGGTTTCCTTTTTTAGTCAGTGAAAATAGTGGTTTGCCTCCATTGGTGATACGCTGAGCAAATGTGCAAACAATGAAGTTCACGTGATCCTGACACAGACGAATATGACAGTCGAGTAGGATCACCTACTAGTGACCAACAGCAACTTGCTATTCACTAGTAGCTCAGAGTGGGTGGGTTTATTTCTGTTGGGTTATGGATGGTCTTTGCCCATTTGTTCAGGTTCCAGTATGAGGTTAAATCTTTGGATTGAGGTGGAGCTGATTCTAAGAATATAACCAAATATTCTAGATTGGGGGACCAAATGGAAAAGTTTAAGAAATTATCTTAAAAAAAATAATCCTGTGAATGTTGTGTGAATATATGTGTCTAGCCCTGGTTGAATTGATTACTTGGTTTTATGACAGGCATGTTTCTCAGCCTGTTTGGTTGAGTCCGTCAGTGCATTTGATGCCTGTGAAGTGAGTAACTGCAGTAGAATGAGTGAGAAACAGATCAATGGCTCATTCTGCCTGTCAGAAATGTGTTTCTCCTCGCTCTCAGCGCTGTATGAGTGTGCATTGGCGACCATGCATGCATTAGCATGGACTTGTGGTTGCATGTGAAGGTGTATGTGTGTGGTTATGTGTTAGAGCTTCATTAAAAGCAGAAAGCCGTAGTGTTAACGAGTGCTGTCCTTTTGCAGGGCCCAAATCTCTATGTTAATAATGAGAGGTGAATGAGAGCAGAGAGAATGTGTTAAATGCCAGATTTTCACTGGCCCATCCCACCGCCACCCGCCTTTCAAATGCTAACTCACACCCGCTAAGTCCTGATAGTATCTTTGGGAGCATTATAATCCAAATAAACAATATCAGATTGCAATCTCTGCTCTCATATGCCCACATCTGGCTCCTGAGAGCACAAGGAACTCAGAGAAATCATGGATGTCTCGCACATGTTTTTTTATTTTTTTGCATTTTCGAGGTGGAAGGGGTCTTTGGTGTAAGTTTTGTTAAGTCAGGGGTTTCCAAACTTTTTGATCTCAAGGACATCTAAGTATGTTGGTCCTCTCTTGTAAGGGACCCCCTTCCTAAAATATAATGCACAATTTCTTATATAATTAAGTGTGTGTAATATATACGATTTGATAAATGTTGACCTGTTTTATTTCATTTGTTTTTATTAATATTAATAATAATACACCTCTAATAATGTCACACTTCTGTTCATCAACTTGCATTGGCTACCAATATCTGCTCGCATAAAATTCAATGCATTGATGTTTGCCTACAAAACAACCACTGGCTCTGCACCCCTTCACCTAAATTCACTAATTCAGACTTATGTGCAAGTGAACGGTGCTTTGTAGTGCCATCCCAAAATGGCACAAAATTACTTTCACTGACTTTTACCTTAAATGTTCCCTGCTTGTGGAATGACTTGCCCAACTCCATCCAAGCAGCTAAGTCCTTAGCCATCTTATTATTATTATTATGCAATTTATTAATTTTACATTTTTTACTTCTTTTACTGCACACTTGTTTGCGGGTCCCATGCAGGACCCCAGTTTGAAACCCCCAATTTTTGATCACTTCCAGAGGAAAATATTATTGCTCAAACTGCTCAAATTTTATTGCTCTTTCATAGCTCAGGATATATAGTCTCAGTTATGTTTTATTTAAGCTTCAACTTTGTCACATATGAGACAATTTTGAGCATGTAGTGTTTTGAATAATATAATATGATATGATTAATATGGTTGTAAAGCGCTATGGTTGTAAAGTGTACAGTAGTACATAGTAAAGCACTATATAAATGCCTCATTCATTCAGTATTCACAATCATATTCAGGTAATTTGCTCTTGAAAGGATTTCATGAGAATTATTTGAGCTCATATTGAGATGTTCTGATGTTTGGTTGTAGACTTTGTATCTTGGCAAATGTAAGCATATTTTGAGACAATGTTGAGATCTCTAGAAGAGACACGTGTGAGATTCATGGTAGGACTGCACGATATTGGAAAAAACTCACATTGCAATATTTTATTTTTCTGCGATATATATTGCAATATGAAAAAAAAATCACCACAATACACCTCTAATAATGTCACACTTCTGTTCATCAACTTGCATTGGCTACCAATATCTGCTCGCATAAAATTCAATGCATTGATGTTTGCCTACAAAACAACCACTGGCTCTGCACCCCTTCACCTAAATTCACTAATTCAGACTTATGTGCAAGTGAACGGTGCTTTGTAGTGCCATCCCAAAATGGCACAAAATTACTTTCACTGACTTTTACCTTAAATGTTCCCTGCTTGTGGAATGACTTGCCCAACTCCATCCAAGCAGCTAAGTCCTTAGCCATCTTATTATTATTATTATGCAATTTATTAATTTTACATTTTTTACTTCTTTTACTGCACACTTGTTTGCGGGTCCCATGCAGGACCCCAGTTTGAAACCCCCAATTTTTGATCACTTCCAGAGGAAAATATTATTGCTCAAACTGCTCAAATTTTATTGCTCTTTCATAGCTCAGGATATATAGTCTCAGTTATGTTTTATTTAAGCTTCAACTTTGTCACATATGAGACAATTTTGAGCATGTAGTGTTTTGAATAATATAATATGATATGATTAATATGGTTGTAAAGCGCTATGGTTGTAAAGTGTACAGTAGTACATAGTAAAGCACTATATAAATGCCTCATTCATTCAGTATTCACAATCATATTCAGGTAATTTGCTCTTGAAAGGATTTCATGAGAATTATTTGAGCTCATATTGAGATGTTCTGATGTTTGGTTGTAGACTTTGTATCTTGGCAAATGTAAGCATATTTTGAGACAATGTTGAGATCTCTAGAAGAGACACATGTGAGATTCATGGTAGGGCTGCACGATATTGGAAAAAACTCACATTACAATATTTTATTTTTCTGCGATATATATTGCAATATGAAAAAAAAATCACCACATGTCTTGGAATAGTTTATTTGGGGGGGGGGGGGAAATCAACGATTGGGGTGATTTTGTAGGCGAGCAAATCAGCATAGGAAATAAACAAATTACAAGCATAGATAAATATAACAGAACAAAGATACAAATGAAATAAGCAGTGCTTTATATTTTTCAGGTAAGTCTAAAAGTATTCAGGTACAGAAATTGAATAATCAAATGTAAAATAACACTGCATAGTTTTCACTGTATAAATTAAATCTAATAAATCTGTGTTAAAGCTACAAAAGTGATTTTTCTTTGTGTTTTGTTGTTTGATTAACATTCTTAACACAGAAAGCCTCAGGAACATTAAACTGCTGT